CAGAACTGAGATGACATTTTCAGTAACAAGCTCTGTGGGGCCACAGAGACCCCCATACCATTGCTCTAGGAGCTCCTCCTTCTCCATTTCTGTGCCATCAACTTTGTACCCACCTGGACACATGTTTCTGGAGGCAGTTCTCATTTCAGATCTGTCCATCTGCTTCCCCTTAATAGTTTGTTTTTTAAGCATCTCCATTCAGATAAAAAAAAATTCATCCATTCATTCAAATAATACATAACATTTGAAAATTATTTTGGCTGTTCTTCTTAGCCTTCTTCAAGTATCTTGCCAGAAAGACTTTCAAGGTTTCTAGACTCCAACATTTCCTGTTATTCCCTGTGCCACTGTCTGTGAGCTCTATGGGGTAGTCTCCCAATTCACCTCACCATTGCCTCTCAGCCTTCTTCTGTCTATTCTCCATGAATCAGCCTGAATCACCCTTTCAGCTGTCAATTAAAACATGTCTAGCCCCATCCCAAATCTCCCAATGGATTCCTATTACTCTTATGCTGAAACTGGATATGAATCTTTATGAATTCTGTGTGGTCTGGCTTGCCTCCCACCCATCCCTTACTAATTCTCCTGCAACCCTGTTGGCACTCTTGTTCTTCTGGAAACAACTGCATATGTTTTTGTGTCTGAGTCTTTCCATATACTATGGGTTTGGCTAGGAAAGTGGCTGTGCCCCATTATCCTCTCTTCCTTTAATGGAAAAATCATTTGCATGTGCTGGTCCCTCGCTGCTTCGGGACCTGCTGCCTCCTCTTCAGTGAGGTCTTTACTCCCTCCACCCTTTCGTAAAACATCTAGAATAGAAGCTCCATGAAGGTAAGATCTGCTGCATTCTCATTCATCCATTCATTCATTTGTTCCTGATAATGAGTGAATGGATGGACGAAAGGATGAAGCAAACAAGAGCTGGTGCAGAGCAAGCTGCTAAAAACAGCATCTTGGAGATGAGGTCTCAGCCGCATCTCATGCTATGAGTTCTGGTGAGGGATGAGACACAAGTGTGACCCTGCAGAGAGGTCCAACAGGGCTCCTTAACCTTCCTCATGTACCTTCATGAAGGTAAGATCTGCTGCATTCTCAT